GGGGCAACTGATGGAGGGTGATTTGACTCGACCTCCTAACTAAGGGACACGTGGATATGACTCGACGTAAGTGACAGCTTAGCATGACTGCTTGTCCACAACTCGGTGTAATAAGCTCGCTGAAACCCCAACAGAACAGCTCGCCATAAGACAGCTCGCCACAAGACAGCTCGTTGCAAGGTAGCTCGCTACAATTGAGTAACCCGGAGCCTTCGGGAAACTTCTTATCCGACAAGGCCGTGCTTGTCAGATTGCTCCCACGTCTCTTGTCGGGCGGCGCAACACCTGCTAGTCTAGAGGACTGCACCCACGTCTCACGTCAGGCGGCGTCGTGCACGCCAGCTCAGCATAACGTCTCTCAAGTGACAGTTGTAGCAGAGAACCAGAGGCGGTTACACCCGATTTGGCAGCACATTAATATATAAAGGCTCCGACCCCCAAGGAAAAAGGTAATTGAATTTTTGGCAATCGAGTAGTGCGCATCTCTACTCTTAGCTCGTCATTACTCTCTAAGCTTTTCACAGAGTTCTAACTTAAGCATCGGAGTGTTCCCGCCGGGCGAACTCCCCGGGAATTCTTCACCTTCTCCTTCTCAGGTGCTGTGAGCGACGCCAGTTAAGAGTAACCAGATCGCTCTACATCATTAACCTTTCCAGTTTGCAATTCAAAGCCTATGCGTTATTTGCTTCCATCATTTTCAATTACAGTTGAAGTTGGGATTTTGATATGTAGATCGTCCTTGGATACAGTAATTTCATATTCTCGGACAGACGCCTGATGGTATTTTTTATTTAACTTTAATAGTGGTGATCCAAAAATGTTCGAGCCAAGTGCACAGTGGTGATCTCCATCTGGCAATCGCTAAGCTACTTCTCCGACATTACAAACTTGTGCTGGTTTCTGGAGTCGGAATTAGCGGAAGAGATCAGACGCTTGCATCATTTGGTGGCCAACACTGAAACAGAAGGTTGTAACATCGTGGTTGGTACCGGTTCAACACAACTCTTTCAGGCAGCACTCTATGCTTTATCATCTCCCGATTCAGCAGAGCCGATCAACGTTGTTTCAGCCGTTCCATACTATTTGGTGAGTTTTCTCACAATCTCACTCTATACATTAGCTGTGAATTCACGGCGCATATCATTTGTTTGCATGAGAATGACCCATCTAATGATATTGTTGTTGAGATTTGAATTAAGCCATCAGAATTGTTCAATACTTACTTAAAATTCTTCTTCTTCAGCATTGTTGATCTTGGGACCTCATTAGACGTTAGTGACCGTGTCTCATGCTCCCTCTCTGTTTCCATACACACACACTCTCTCTCTCTCGCTAGTTCAGGTTAATTAATGGTGGATTAGTACCTTGAGGGAATAAAATTAGTGGTATATACGTGCAGACCATCATGTTATCAAGTGCTTATAAAGTTTTTATGGCCAAAGAAATTAAAAAATAAAAAATAAAGGAAAAAAAGTTTTGGCCTTAATTTACTATACTTATGATCATTGGTTAATCAAGTTGTTAATTAATTTGCGTTGAATTGCTTCTTCCTTGTAGTCTTACTTGGCGGTCACCGATTTCTTAAAGTCCGGGTTCTACAGATGGGCCGGTGACGCATACACATACAAAGGCGATCAATCTTACACAGAGCTCATAACCTCCCCAAATAATCCAGATGGATTTATTCGGGCAACGGTGGTTAACCGGAGCGGAGGGAAACTCATTCATGACCTAGCTTACTATTGGCCTCAATATACACCGATTACAACTCCGGCAAATCATGATCTCATGTTATTCACCGTCTCCAAAAGCACTGGCCATCCTGGGTCACCATCTCCAAAAGCAATGGTCATGCTGGGTCACCGGCAGATCATGATCTCATGCTATTCTCAAGGTCGTGTCTGATGGTTGTAGACAAGACTTCGTTGACTATGGAAGAAGCCTCATGGCCAAGAGATGGGAGCGTTTGAGAAATGTTATTTGTGTTTGGTTGAACCGCCAAACTCTTGTTAACGGGCCTTTTACCGTGAACAGTATGCGTTCTCCCACCTGGTCGACGTGGTCGATTGTGATTTGTGGGTGCATTTGTTTTGTGCACCCAACACAGACTCTTCTTCTCCTGTTTCGAAGTGCACTGAAGGGTATAACTGTATAATATTATTACTGTTTCGCTACCAAAAGTTCTCCAATTCTAATAGTCATTTGGAGAACTTTTGGCAATGATCCCTGATTGATTGTGGGCTACTTGTCCTTGGCACCACAATACCACAGATTAGATGTCATCTTTTTTATATATTAAGAAAGGGAGTTTTTATTAAAATTCACCTGGAAGGGGAGGGGACTAGGACTTGACCCCTTCAAGAATACACTAGAAAATCTTTTGTTTGGTCTCAAAGACCTACGCACCTCTTCTTGCGTTGCAGGGGAAGGAGTTGTTTGTTCCACATTGCACTTGCATGTTTGTTTCTTGTTTTCCTCCATTCTTTTCCAACCTTGAATCTGCTCATCCTTCTGCGTGGCTGAAATATCTTATTCTGAGCCTTCTTTAGTAGACGGGATCGTGACTCTATTCCAAAATTTAAATTTCATAGCAGGGTTTGGTGCTTGAGACTTGAGAGAAGGTATAGCAATGGGCCTCGGCCTAGTCATTTTCTGCACAATCCATCTCCAATCAGTTAAATTGCCTGTTTACAATATTATCAACCAACAAAACTTGATTCTTTGAAAAATCATGGTTTTTAAAAACGAACGGGTGATCGAACCGGTCACGGGTCCGGTTACTGGCAAAAAAAAAAATTTTAAAAAAATTAGAAAACGGTCAAAACCGTTCAAGTCCAACAAGGTATATTTAATTGGATCAGTCAAGACTTAGGCTCTGTTTGGGAAGAGGGTAAATGCAAAAGTCAGGCTGGTTTTATGGTCATTTGCACCCATTGTTGTTTGGCTGGAAGAAAGTGAACAGAGAAGGCAAATTTGCTGGTGCTTGGGAGTTTTTTATGTTGCAAACCCAGAGAATGGATCCCGCCATCATGCCTTGATATCTGGCCTTCAAGTATCAACAATTAACTATTTACTAAAGGGATATCTGGCCTCTGTAAACATATATTCAGATCTATAATTGTAGAATTTATTTCCCATATATATCTGGGAACCAAAGGGGAAGTAGAAGAAACCCCAAATACTGTGAAATACAACGAGAACAATGCATGAACAACTGCCGATGAACAATGCAAGACCAAATACCCCAAATACTATGAAATACAGCGATGTTCGGAGGTCTTTGGTCTTGCCATCGCTGGTGAATCTCCATGGGGAGGACAGATATACATACCTGAGATGTTAGGTAGCCGTTGGAGTTTGAAGTAGGAGTTCAAGTTTTCCATTTCTGTCGCTGGAGGCCGAGGAGATGATAGGTAGCTGTTGGTGAGAAGTAACTGTTGCTATGGTGTTCCTCGACGAGAAGATGTGACAAAGAGAGCAAATCAGTCTTCTCTTTCCATCGATGGAAAGTTCGAACACAGGTTTGCTTTTTTTTTTTTTTTATGTGTGTATTTACCTCCAAAATCGAGTAAAATACTGACAAGATTGCATATTTTCCTGAATTTTCGGGCTTCATTTTACCATTTTACCAAATGGTGGGAAAACTGATCCGGGGTGCATATTTCTCTCGAGTCTCGAACCGTGTTTTGCACTCTTACCAAATGGAGTCTTAATAATCCAAAGTATGTATTGGGTAGGATTTGACCTGATTCATTTGTAATGGATTTGTATTAGACTGGATCGTACTAATCTATTGACAGAAGATAAGAGTAGGGATGTCAGTGGGCTGGGTTTGGGTTGCATCCAATCTGAATTAAGACCAATCTGAACAAGTTGGATGGTCAAATAAGACATATTGAATTGGACCAGTCTAGATTTAATGATCTAAAATATTTATTGGACTGGACTGGACCTCGTCCATCTATAATGAATTCATGTTGGACTCGATTGGGTTGGACCAATATCCAGTCCATCGACAGCCCTAATGGTAGTGGAGTTCAGATTGGCTCCCCCATAGAATGTGCCTCACATGCACATCTCAGCATGCATTGGAAACATCTCCTGTATTTGTCAATAGCGGTATCAATCAAACCAGATTTGGTCTAATTAAATCTGATCCAATATGAATTCGTTATAGATGAACCAGGTCCAATCCAAGACTTTGGATCATTTTGGATTGGTCCAATTTAATGTCTGAACCGTCCAATGACTCCAATGTTCAATCCGACAAAACCCATTGTAAATCCATTACAGATGGACCGTGTCCGATCTAATCCAAAAATATTCCCAATGCACGATTGAGATGTGCTGTGGGGCGCGGAGACAATGCAAATTCAGTGGTAGCACGATAGAGAGTAGGAATCAGCAGATATTGATGGGCTTATAGCATTGTAGGATTACGGTGCTCATCTGACTGTGAGGGCCCACCAAATTCCATTTTGGAGTCTCCACTCCAAGTCCCAACCCACCAGCCAGTACCATTAAGCAAAGGCAAAAAAAAAGGACATTGTCCCTTTTTGAAAAGGTCTTTGGATGGAATTTTGGTGCTATTAGATTTTACTTGGAAGTTGTGGTCTTGTCTCTTGTGGACCATCTCCAAGCAGCACCCTAGGAAAGTAGGAAACTCCCTGTGTCGTGTAAAGAATATTTGTAATTTTTGTAGACTTTTTTTCTACTTCTCCATGTGGAAATCCATCCTTCTGGGGTCCAAAGTAGCTTTTGCTTTTGGGTTTTGGCCCATGTCCCATGAGAGAGAGATCAGATCCACATCCACCATCATATGGGCTGGGGGTGGCCCTGGGGGCAATCCCGATGGATCTTAAGCCTCAACTCTCCCAATCATGAGCCATGCCTCCATGTGCGCCGCGATTACGAGTCCATAAGGCCTTAAAAGTCATAAATCAAACTATTCTTGTCTACAACCTACAACCATTAATTATTAATTAATCAACACAAAATCATAAGATAGGTCAGCCGAGTCAAACCACGAGTTGAGCCACAGTCACCGGAGTAAACTGTAAACCCGCCCACCTCCTAGCTCCTCATTCCGAACTCCGAACATCAAACCATCAAACACATTCAAAAGCATTTACACAAGTGGAAACAACCAGAAACATTTATCAGTTACAGTTAAATCTCAAGTAACCAAGTAGATAGGCATGGGCGATATTGGGATTCGATGGTATTGTTGCTGCTCTATATTAAGCTCTCTCAGGCTGAGATAAGGTATCTCCACTTCTCCATTACGTGTCGGTGTTAGTGTCCCCGCGAGAGGCCCTGACGCCGGACGGCAGCTCGTTCTGGAGGGCGTGCTCCAACCACTTCTGTTCTCTGTTATGTACACAGGTCCAGATACAGCTCCCCTGCAAACCCGGCTCCTGGGGTAGACTCCATCTTCACCATCATCCAGTCCTGCATCGTCGAACCATTTCCACCTCCAGAAAAGAAGAGCATTTTTCCACCATTTCTTCTTCTTCTTCTTATTGCTCTTATTTGACTCTTCTTTCGAGATGGGCTTCTGTAGTTTGAAATGCAGAGCATCTACGGATCTCAAAGTATCTCGTTTGTACTTTCTAGCTTCTTCTAACACCTTTATTTTTCAGAGGAATTGAGTGAAAACAAGTTCAGAGAGACCTAAACGAGAAAGGAGGAAATATAAATCAGAGAAACAGAAAAAAGAAAATACATGTATGTATGTATGTGTGACCTGAAAATAGTCGATTTGAGGTTCGAAGCCGTAGTCGCTAAAATGCTGAGGCTCTGGCATCGGACATATCGGAGACTTGCTGGACATCTTTCTCCTTTCTCTCCCACCTGCTCTCCTGCATGTAATATGTATTACTTTTTAATTTAGCACTGTTCTCTCCCTCCCTCCCCGCCCACTTCTTCCACTGCTCTGAGATTTGCAGAAGAAGAAGAAGAAGAAGAAAGAAAGGAAAAGAAGAATGTGCAGTGCAGGGGAGGCAAAGTGTTTGGGGAATCGATAGTCAAAAAGACTCTAAACTCTAGTAAATGCTTTCTCCCTCTTAATTTATTAACTTTACGACCCTTAGACTTATTAAAGCGGTAGCGGTAGTGGTTGGTTCCCCGTCCCCCTTCTTCCTTCTCTACGGGAGAATTGTTGGGATCCATGTCCTCGGAAGTGGGGTGGGTACAATCATATTATCTAAAAATAAACCTGATTAACTGAACAATAAATGACTTATTCCTTTATCTTAATTCTTAGCAAGCAAGACAAGTCATTAAATAAAACCATTTAGCTCACTTAATTAAAGAGTAGAGTTACCACGAGTCCACGACCGACATTTTGGACTGAAAGACCAAAACCAAAGCTCAGTACAAGACTTATATTTACTACTCAAAAATTCATCCAGTCCAGACATTATGAATCGTCAATGATTTTATTTGGTGGAACCCACTAATTACAGTGGCCCTTTGATATCGAATCGGGATTTGTCTCACAGAGCACACCTCACACTGACGTCAGAGCACATCCCACCGTGTATTAAAACACCTCCGGCCATGAATAACAATACAGATGTAGAGATGTTCCTCAGGTACATGAGATTGGTGTGAGGAGCGCAGGACTCCTTTAGGTTTCCATCACAGCTACAACGTATTAATGCCATCAACTCCCACAGTTCTGCATTAATATCTTGCTGTTTTCACATTGTTAGACACCAGGGTTGTCCTTACTCAGTCCTTTACATTCAGGGTTGTGAACGGATCTGAGTTGGATCAGATCCAGTCACAGCCAAATTCAATCTAATTATGAAAAATTCATTATCTCAATTCAATTTACAATTTAGCATATGAGATTCGGTTTTAATTAGAATGTACTTTATTGTGCTTAAAGTAAAGAAGTTAAAAAATAACTATTTTTTATTTAGATGACAAATTTTGTAAATAATTTATTAATTATAAATTTTATATAATTATTAATGTAAGGACATGTGTTATATACATGTGCAAATAAAGGATAAAACATAAGTTAACATTATATAATCCAATTTTATTTTTATGACATGCACCAAAATCAAGTCAAGTATCTACTTTGCTTTATAGATATAAAATATAATAATTATGAACTTTAACCAATTTTAAATTTTTATTAGATTTGAATATTAATCAAATTGAATGGGACAAAATCCTTGTCCAATTTACATTAAAGCATAGAGCCATAGACACACGAAACACCACATACACAGCTCAATCCATCGTAAACCAAAACCACAACTACTTGGTCCAATTACCAACTTGGGTCACCGAGAACTAATCTAGACAAATAATTAGAGCATTGTAAGAACAAACTACCAACCGGAAAATGGCCACCTTGATTGACAGAGTTTTGGAAGTATGATGGCTTGATCCCTCTTCGAAAGGTAAGTATCCCAGTTCCTCAAAGGGTCTGGCTATCCATTATCTCCTCCATCAATCTCCCCTCCTCATTGTCATTTCACCTTTGACTTTCAGAGAGCTTCATCCATGTCAAAGGGCTTACAATTTGATTATTAAAGGGATGCATGTTCTAAGATTTGAATAAAAAATAATTATATTTTTACCTAAGAATCCAAAATAATCATATTGATATCTGGTTCACGTTTTGGACTCTAGCCCATTGACAGTCCTAGCCACTCACAGTACCCATAACCTCCCAGCCCCCAACACTAGTGAAGACAGGAATCATTCCCAAGTCTCCACTACCTTAACAATTAACCCAGTTATAACCTTTAAACCGGTTCACTACATTCTTTTAGGGGTCTTGGGTTGTCTGATTCAAGAAGTTGGGTTAGCTGAACTGAATGTGATTACCATTCAGCGGGCTGAGGAACCAATGATACATAGGGTCCAAAGTGAGAAATTAAATGGTTGTGGGAACCATATATTTTATTACTGGTGTGAAGTGTTATTGATTCCACGGCCCACTGAACAGCATTTGTGTTCAGCTAATCCTTTCTCCTGCTTCAAATAGTTTAAGCTTGGCTTTGGACTTGGGCTTATTCAAAATTTTACAAATTACTCCAACTATTTTGACCCAATTTGCACTACTAATTATTGCACAACCCCATGAGCTTGATTCTCGCTATTTTTGGAACTGGTTAGAACATTCTGTGTATTTTAAAATTGGATTACAATATCTATTTTAACTTTTAAGAATATAATTATGACAAAAACTAGGGATGGCAATGAGACTGATTCAGGGTGGGGACCATACTCCCCATCCCCATCTCGAGTTTGAATCAAATCTCCATCCCCGCCCTCAATCCCCATTAGGGATAAAAATGGAATTCCATCTCCAATCCCTACCGGAGACAGGTTTTTTGTCGGGGACCCTATTCTCCGAAAATTTTAAATTAAAAGAGTTTTTAGAAAACAGATTTACTTAAAATAAGGAAAACCTTTTAAATTATAAAAATATTTTAAGTATATTTTGATATATAATATAAATAATATCATGAATAAAATAAATAATATTATATATTTATATATTAAATACAACGTTTTAAAAAACGATTCGGAAACGGAACCGTTCTGGCCATCGGTTATTAGGTCAATGGTCCAATCGTCTAGTTCGAATAGACGGCCCATTCTGATAGCAAAATTAAAAAAATAAAAAAAATGGTCAAAAACCGTTGAACGGGTCTACGGTTCGACTACTCGAGTCAATAGTTTGTAAACTTTTTCAACGGTTTTTTACCAAATTCCGGGTTTTGGGTAAAATAGAATCGGTTGCCTGGACGGTTCTTGGGCAGAACGGTCTGACCGTCCGAGTCAATGACGGCTCGAAAACGTTGAATATAATATAATATATATATACACCAATCCCTGTCCACAATCGGGTATCACTATTGATTCCCATCCCTGACAAGGCAATCTCCAACCCAAATCCTAATGAGAAAACCAAAAAAACTCAAAAGTTCAAAATTAAAAAAAAAAATAGAAAATAGTCTTTTCTTTGCATATATTGAATTTTTACTTTCCTACCCCTCCCTCACCCACCCACCCAAGAAAAAAAAAGATTTTTTTACCCTAGCTTTAAGATTACTTTTTTCTTTTTTTTTTACAAAAACGTTCTCCACTCCTTCCTTTATAATTTGTATGGACTCTCCACTACTAGCATCCTCGATTGTTAATATAACATAGAACCATGGTTTTCGAATCGCCATTGACCCAAATGGTCGGACCATTTGGCCTGGGAACCGTCCAAGAACCTAGTTCTGTTTTACCCAAATCCGGTCCCTGACCAAAAACCGTTGAATTGATCAATGACTCGTTGACCCGAGCGGTCGAATCATCGATCTGTCGACCCATTCAATAGTTTTTAGCTGTTTTTTATTTTTTATTTTTTAAATTTTGTTGTCAGAATGGGTCGTCCATTCGAACCATCAACCCAAAAACTGGTGGCCAGAACAGTTCCGTTTCTAGATCGTTTTTTAAAACCATGCATAGAACTAGACAGGATAATGACAATTTGATTTATGAATTTGTCTAAAAATAACATGATATTGTTTTACTAACCCATTCAACTAACTTATGACAAAAGGAGATCTATGCTAAGCAAACACATGTAAGAGATGGGTTTAAGCCTATTTTATGAAAGGGTTATTTACTAGAACACTCCCTATAGTTTCATGGGTTTAATTAAACCTGCCTTACAGTTTTCATTTTACTAAAACATCCACTATAAGTTGCAACCTATTTACTCAATCGATCTTTCACCAAGAGGTGCTTGTTTTGCCATCTAAAAATAGTAACAATCACCTAAACTGAGTAGAAAATGTTTATGGATATGGGTCCATGATTGTTTATTCCAAAAAGTACCCCTAACACTTCTCCATACAAAAAAGAAAAAGATCAAAGAGAGCCAAATAGAGTGGTTTCTTGTGTCTTATTAGGGGTAAAAATTGTATTTTTATTTTATTTTCTTTTGATTAAATTTATTCAATTAAACATTAGGGTCAAAACTGTAACTTCTACTGTCATCTAAGTGAAGGTCAATTAAGTAAACCGATTTCAAACTACAAGGAGTGTTTTAGTAAAACGCAAACTATAGAGTAGGTTTCAGTGAGTCCATGAAACTATGGGGGGTATTTTAATAAATGACTCTTTTTGGAAAGCAAGGGATCTTTTAGGTGGCATTTGGTAGCACCAAACTGGCCTCTGAACTCTGAATTTTTTTTTTCCCTTTTTCGATTAAGCATTCAAGCATACTTTTGAATATGGAAATATATATAATAATTTAATATATAATAATATTGTATTACAATAAAATACATAACATACAATATTATGAAATATGAAAACATAATAATATATTATGTATTACAATAAAATATAAAACATTTCTCGAAAGGTTTTAATAATCAAATTACTAAACAACTCCAACTACATCTAGAAATGTAAAAAAGCAGAAAAGCATTTTTCAGTCATAGATCTAACATCTGAGCTCATAAGTGATCTCAAATCAAAACTATGTTGTTTTCAAAGGTTAAAGTTTAGATTTACTATAAACACCACCTTAGTAATTTTCTGTTAAGATAAATCATACAAAACAGTTTACAGTGCTATAGACTACAAATGAGTTCTAATATTCCATCCATAACTCTATTGGTACTACAAGGCCAATTATGATGTGCCACGTCCGCATTGCACACCAGTACCAATATTAGGTTGATGTGGCATATTGTTATTAACCTAGTGTCCTTTATTTCATAAAATATCTATAGCCAACTAGTCATTATATTGGGAAGGGTGCAAGTCAGATAGCTACTTCAAAGCATTTAAATTGCATGAGCATGGGCCCTTGGACTAGGCCCGTTTAAATTTTAAAGAATGGCTCATACCCAAGCCCTCTTAATTTGCACTCTCAAACATTGGGAAATCGGATTCAGTACTCATGGTGCTTTACCATTTTCAGCAATCGTGAATTAGGAATATCTTCATGTTTCTATGCTTTTATTTTATGGGAGATATTTTTAATGTACA